TTGCGAATTTCGATACGAAGTTGCGACAGGGAAATTCGCTTTTGACGGATCAAGTTTTTGGTTGTATTAGCGCGCACATTGTGCGGAATTACACGTGGGAATTGATTCGTTAAATCTATACTCCGTGTAATGATCAGCGCGGCGTGAAATTAGCGCGGGATCGTAATTAAATTAATAACTGGATTACGCCGCGTTGATCCTATAATTATCGTTTACACACGATAAGGTTTAAAAGCCCGCTCCAGGAAATCGATGTAATGTGTTGCGATCCCGTTGGGGAGGCGATCTGTAATTAATATTCAATTATCATTAACATATTGCAAGATTAGACGTCTATTCTCTTCCTCAATTTTGTGTTTTTCCTTTTAATGAACATGTATTTCTATAAGTAAGATAATTCAAATTATGGATAATACAGAACTTATAACTAAATATTTTCATTACAATTTATTATTACAATATCAATAATTAATAAATTATCAATATAATTATATTAAACTATATATACATTAATTGTTAAATATTATTAAATACTTTACTATTAATAATTGCAATTATCTTTGTAATTATCAAATTCTATTATAAAAATTAATCGTAGGTTAGTAGAATCAAATTGAAAGACAGAAATTATATACACATAGATATTAAAAATATTTTAAAATTTAAATAAAAATTCATTTATACGTTTTATGTATAAAAATGTTAAAAGTCGAATATGCGCATAATATTAAAAATTTGTGCGTTACCAGATCTGCAAATGCAGTGAACTATTTTTTCCACTTTTTTACCCGTCTCGGAAATTTACTGTCGCTAAATCGTGGAAGGGCGACAACGATAACGTCGCGCGGTGCAAAGATCGCTTGATACTTGAATGGGAAAACATACGCGGTAGGCTTTTGCCATTCAGTATCGAAATAGAATTTAGTACGTAACGGAGAAAGATAGAAAAAGGGATAGAAGGAAGCGATAACACGCGGGAATCGCTCTTCAACCCCTAATAAATCATCTACCGCCATGTTTAATGCAGCTTTTTCAATTGTCCTCGGGGTCACGTATTCACACTGTAAGTCCTTCAGCTACCGATTTACGATCTGCAGATGCAGCTAATATCCATTTGAATGCAACACATAGAATTTTTTGTACCATAATTTTACTCATAATTAAAGTAGAATAATAAAATAATGAAATTTTAACGTAACTGAAAATTAATTACATTAATAGAATTCATTAATACAGTATAAGGAATTAAATTGACACGTAACTATAATACAATTAAAATTAGAAATTTATAATTATCGCGGATTATGTTTCAAAATTTTTGAATTCAAATCAACTTCCCGGTTTAAATCGGATAACTGCAAAATCTTTTTTGAGATCAGTGTGTAGAAAATAATGTCGCAATGGCGGACCAATGAGTGGGATGGAGAGGATTGCGCGAATTCCGCGGCTGCAAAGCGATTTATGGGAAACGAACACGGGCTATAAAATAACACTTCCCATTCAAATCGGCAAATTAATGGTCGCTTTCGTGAATTCTTTGTTTGGGCAGCGCGACAATGGCGGCGCTTGTTGAGTTATTATCCTGAAATACTACAAAATTTTAGGAAACGCCAGTTTTTGCAAATTTTCGTTAATTTCGACAGATAATTTTCTAACCGCGGAGACTTTGGTATTCAGAGCCGCCGATAGATTCTACGTTGCTACGTCCAAAATTGGATTGATGTTATACTTTTAGAGTATCTGGCCCCAGGAGTAGTAAAGATTGATCGGCTTGCCTAGGCTTCGAAACTATTATCTAGTTTAGATACTTAAGTCCGCGCGGAAAGTTACTCCCCGCGAGCTTTAATCTCTCTAAGCACGAGGTGATTATAAAGTTTCTTATTAAGTTCCCGTGTAGCACCACCACCACACGCGTACTCGAGCCGCCATTGCAATACACGGGTGAAAAACTTTGCCAGTACTTCAGCTATATGTAACTCTCAACAAGGAGAAGAAAATGCGAAAGTGCTCTCCATAGTATTAGAACATGTTTCCTACTCTACGTAAAATTATATAGGAGAAAGAAGAAGGCACATTTACATACATTTAAACGCTGAAAACAGGTTTGGACAGTTTAAATATCGTTTCTCATAGTATTAAAATTCTCTTTATTATTCTACGTTTTATTTCAGTTTAATATCTATTTTGTAATTATTTTTATTTTTCTCAACGTATTTTACTTTTAATCCTTTGAGAACAGAAGCTTTCTTCGGAACAAAGAAACTTAAAGAAGACCTCATTTTCTAAGGGCTTTCGGAGTTGCTAAATTTGATTTTGACCTCAGAATTCTATAATTAATGAAATTTCAAAAAAGTAACACAAAGTGATCACCATGAAACTCGGTTTTAGAAAGTTCATGGTATTGCTGAATTTGAATGTAGCCTGAAAATATCAAATTTCAAAGGGGTGTATATATATATAGTACCTTCTAATGAAGGAGGATTTAATGTCACAGGGTTCATAATCAGAGTTTGCAAGTTAGTTTGAAAATTAGTATTAACTGTTTGTGTAGCTTCGAATAAAGTAAAATTGGAAACGTGATGTTGCTTTGCAACTAAAGAGTCCTTAAATCTGAGTTTTACGATATAATCAAATTATTTTTTGAATACATTCTTTCCCTCCATATTGGAGTTACCATTTAAATTTTTAATATTTTTAACCTCAGATGCGAAAATAAAGTATTATCAAATTACTTCATAGGCCAAGTTTCATGAAAATCGAACGAACAGTTTTAATATAAAAGAAAGTACGTCGAAACGGTCATGCCAATAATCGATAAAGGATTAATTTAAACTTATACATATTTTATCTTATTTAATCCATTTTGCTTTTGGATCTCACAAATTATAAATTATTAAAATATATAATGTTAAATTCTCATGTTACGCGCAAATCTCTCTCTATATATATATATATATAATTTTAACTTATCTGTAATCTATATTCTTGGACTCTTTTATAATAAATCATGGAATATTATAATCACATCTTTTATAAAAAAACACTATAACATGTAATGTATGCATCATGTACATTGACATTAATGTGCTCATTCTATATACGCGCTTCGCTTCGTATTTATTCGACATTAAAGAGACTCGTGTAAGCTTGATATTCTTTAGGGGGATTAATACACTCGTAGAAAATATGACGAAAGCTTTCGTCGTCAAGGAACGTCGATGAAAGGTAGACGATGAATCGACGTGGATTTCTTCGGCTACGTTATGCAGAAAAAACGAGAAAAGACTGCGCACAAAGGAGGCTCGCCATCTTTGAGCCTTTTTCCGAGGGATCGCAAGATAATTGGCTGATTTAACGAGATCACATTCAGGGGATTCGTGCCGTGGTAAGAAAAGCGCGTATTCTTCCTACGACGAGGTAACTTTCGTTAGAAAAGTGCACGCGATTATCTCATAATATTATCAGCCATTGAACGAAATTAATTGTAAAAAAAATTAAATCTAATGTAAATCTCTATGAATATTAAAATTTAATTTAAAAGAAGATATACCCCTTCAGAAAACAAAACCTACCTGTACAAACTTTTTTTTACGAAAACTATTAACTTTACTCAAACAGAGTTTTAACCAATATTTTACACGTATATTAATGTGTTACATATGTACTGTTTGAGAGTAAAATTAATAGTTTTTGCAAACAAAATCATAAAATAAGTTTCTTTTAAATCCGTCTGGATATGTGTATGTGCATCTCTCTCTCTCTTTCTCTCCAATAAAAAATCTTAAAATCTCTCAAATCCAAAGTTTTCATTTGATTTTAATCCATAGGGAAGAAAAATTGTATATTAATTCCCAATGTAATATCTTTGCTTCCACATATATAAGTGCAAATATAAAGCTTGGATAATGGCACTTTACGTAAAACGAGTAGCATCGCGTATTTAAAAACGCAATTATATCTTAAATTCTCGAATTACATTGATTCGTGGGAAAGAGGATCGTTAACTTCCGCCGAAAGTGGTGACATCACCGCTTTCACGGTCACAAAGCGCGAACATGGCGCTTGGACGCGACACTTTGCGCAAAATGGATGTTCATCGCGTATTGTAATTGGACGGAAGTAGTATTTTACTGATGCGTTTGCTGAAGGCGAATGAGATGCAAAAACGAGGTCGATGCACTGCAACTTGACTCAATAGCAAATGTCCCACGTAACTATTGTGTTGATTACAAGTTTACAGGCGAAATAAAAAGAGATCGTTATATTGCGTGTTACGATTTGTACAGGTAAATTGGATATCTGGAAAATAAACTGCGTCCAATGCGAGATTATCTGTCCATGGATGGACGCGTTTATCGAATCCCTTTCCGCGGAAAATTGTGTACTGATAATAGAACTTTATCCTTCAAATCCTTTTGCGTTTGATTTCCGTTCGAATTGAAATGTAATCTACAGCTTGATTACTAGTTAGATACTTATCAATAGGTATTGGTTCAAAGCAAATGAATTCTAGTGTATTTCATGTTTTGTTTAATTTTTTATAGTAAATGTGCGATTAACGAGTGAAGATATGTCTTTTTTTTTTTATCGAAACAACACAAAATATGGAATAAAACAGCAACTTTAGATTGTAATATGTGCTGTTAAAATTTCATTACATTTTCCAAAATTATACATACATTTTGCAGCGCAAATATTTTTCGGGAGTTATGCTTCATTGATTTGTATTTTTAAATGATTGCTTGATTTTAGATATGCTTTATTTGATTTTTAATTCTTTCAATTATTGATTCCATTTATTTTAAATTCCTTCGCTTCAAATCAAGAGATGTTTTTATCGAAACGTCATAAAGAATAGAATAAATTAACACTGTAAATTTAAATTGTAATATGCTGTTATAAAATTTCCATTATATTTTCTAAAATTGTAGATTTTGCAGCGCAAATATGTATTTTTTTCTGAAATTAGACTCTACTGATTTTCCTAAATAACTATCTGATTTTATATATTTTTTATTAAATGATTGATCTCGTTTATTTTGCATCTCAAGTAGCACAGCAGCGCTTTAGCGACTATATGCGCTTTTTTAGCGCTTTGTTAACGCTTTGTTAGCGCTGTGTGCTACTTGGGATCATTTCCTTTTGCTTCAACGTGAAAAAACAAAAGACAAAATTTACCTTGAACAGGCGCGTAAATGTTGAGGTACAGGCAATCCTCGCTTTGGTTCTTGAGGTAGGGCAGCAGTCGCTTGAGGTATTCTAGTCTGCCCTTGGGCATCTTGTCACTGAGCTCCGGTAGCTTTTGAGGACAAACAGGTCCGAATTTATCGGCGATCTTAACGCCCTGCCAAAGGGCACCGGTGACGGGCGGCATGAAACGTAATGAGCCAATCGGTGGCGAGGCATAAGGTACACCGCGAAATACCTCGACACCTTCGAGGTATCGATCAAGGGTAACGATCACGCCCGATAGCTCGCCGTACTTAGTTCTGACGATCCTCGAACTTAGCTCGGCACCGGCGGTCGCCAGGATCAAGCCGAGCAGCGCCAGGATCGACAACGTCATTTTGACGCGATCACCGACGTCTTCGGCGTCACCTCCTGCTTCGGCGTCACCTCCGCCGATCACTTTCTCGCCGTTCCGATGCCTCTCATATCGCCTTCCTTGTCTTACACTGCGACAATTTCCTCTTTAACCGTCGCCAGAGATGAGGATGTACGCGAACTGATCCATTTCGCGATTCTCAGAAACTTGTTCACTTCCTGGATGCATCAGTCTTCTTCAAAGTGAAGGACAGTTGAATGACTGTTAGACTTTATTTTGTTTAATCGATATACTTAAGAAGTGCTCAACCAATAATACAAGTTAGTAAAGTTGCTATCTTACAATCGGTCTTTAATTCAGCCTACGAAGAGTCTTGATTTTGTTTGATACTTAAAAAAGAAAAACCTATTGTCTTTAAATAGATATTCCTGAGCTTAAACACTGTGATGAAAACTCTGATGGGGGCTAGAAAACTCTGATGGGAATGGATTTTCCATAATTTCTTCCAATTTGATGATCTTGAAAGATTGCGATATCTTGGACTACATTTTTTAATTTAAATGAATCGAAGCAAAGAAATGATTGCGAATCGTCTTTGATTATCTATTTTGGCGCAATTGACCTAGGGAAGACTGCAGATTTAAGATTGAGAAACATCCTGAGTTAAATCTTCCTAGGAGAGTCGCAGAGATTGTATTTGTTCTGTATATTAAATTTTTTTTCAGTCGTATATCTAATTGGATATTTAACGTTCAGATATTCCGTTGGTGCAATGGCGAAGACCAGCACATCCTCCTTCAAACATCGTTATCCTTTAGACTTAATTATTATCGGCTTTACGCTATCAAGTTGCAAGTTCTAACAATCTCCGGATTCACTTCGTCTTGTCTTGCTAGTTCACTGACCGATAGAGATTTTGTTACATATAAGAAAATTTATCGTCATAAATTTACCATTAGACGTCCAGTGAAAACGACGTGTGAACTACACTGTCAGAAGAGATAACTTTACACTTTTCCACGATAGACTGTAGCGTCTAGATTAAAACTTCCGGTTAAAAACAGGATCTCTTTATGATCAACATTCACGAAAGTGAATCCTCGTTTTTTTATACGATTCCTTCGTTCTTCACTCACATCTGTCGATGTAAAAGAGATTCATACGTGTCTTATCGTTCACACAAAGACGATCTCGTTCCTGATGGCGTGCTTTATGTATCGAAAGAGATAGAATGCACCGGCTCTGATCACGTTCAAGAGCAGGCCGCCCTTTGAATATTTACTCACTCGTTTCATCTCGGTAAGAAAAAGCAGGAGAATACAAGATATTTCCTAAATCTTTCATGCAATATTTCATTGGACGGATCGAAGGTAACGAGAATCGCACCTGGCTCTCATCTCGTAGTTCATTGAACTATTCTCTCGATTGAATGAAATCGAGCGTTCATTAATGTAATTTTTCGGCAAATAATCTTTTCTTCGGAGATAATTGAAAAAACATACGCTACGAACGAAGAAACGGACATTGATCCAGTTTTCCAATTATTGAAGAAAATAAAATATATCACGGAATTAGTATTTGAATTGAAGAATTTTAAATTTCTTTCGCAATCGCGCGACAAATGTAGAATGGAAAATTCATTAGTAGAGTTGCCTCGGATTGTTTGACGTTTAAAGAGATATGCACAAAGACACGCGCACTGTAGTTGTGAAATAAAAGACGCATCCAGGAAGCTTTGCTTGTTGCGTTCAAGAAGTACGTCACACCTTTATATTTAAACCTTTCAATATTCCTTCAGCATAAAATACACATCTTCCCACGGATGCTATTCTTGCCGAGTCAACAGCTTCAATTTACAGTTAACCTAGTTAGATTAAAATCGCACTATTAATCAACGGCTAATTTCCCACAGGTTTTTAGATAGACACTTACAGATAGAAACAAATTTAAAATTATCTTTGATTACTCCATTAAATTCACACTTTTCCGACTGATCACTGAGTGATGATCTTCGATCATCGGCACAACACTATAATAATAGCGCGCGATCATCGTTCCTTCATCGCAACGGGTCAAGCACTACCATACGGGATTCCTTTTGCACATAGCTTTGCGACGAGCATCCTTTTCACCCTCCCGGCGACCCGCGCCGGCACCTCCGGTCCGGAGTACGTCTTCGAACTTTGCCGAGTCAGGAAAATCGTTTCCCGATAAGACAGATTTATCGGATACGACAAAGTAATTTCAAGTTTCGTCGAATTGCGCCAGAGAGGATGTTCCCGCTCGCTGGAAGCAACCCTTCGACACAACTATCCCCGAAGCTAGCGAAAGAGGCGCACCGAAAAATCCGAGAGAAAGGTGGTAGTGGGAGTTTGGAAACCAAAAGGGAAACGGCCACCCCTACGTTTCTTCCCTCGTCACTGCTACCCCGGTCGCAGCGAACTACCACCTTCCCTGGACCCTGATACTACACCGTTGACGTCGACCCTGGTCGATGCACCGCGACGAATCTCGCGTGACGTGATCAGGGGTGGGCACGGTATTACCGCGAAAGGGTGCGAGCGCCGCTGGGACGCCGTGGTATGCGACGAAAACCAACCGAACCGATGTAGCCGACACTTCGACCCCCGACAGACTGGCGTCAGGCGACGACGTTCAGCATCGGTTGCGCATGCCCCGCGCAAACGCTCCGGACTTGGTACAGGGCAAGGGCGGAAGTGCACCCCGGCGTGGTCGATACGGCAGGAGGGATCGATCCTCGAACCGACTGGCGAGAGTTGTTGGTTCGAATCCCGGATTGCGAAAACGCCGTACTTTTGGCTGCGTTCAAGCTGATCCCTTTTATTTCAACTACCTCTCTTCTTTTCGGGCTATCCATCACTATTGACTTCTCTCATCTAGTCGTATTTAGTGGAGTACGTTTCAGTATTTTTTTTATTAAGCCAATAACCGTTGTACTCGTTTATCAATCATTTTTCCTCGCTGCACCTTCATGACTCGTAATTACTTCTTTTATTAAAATTTATTATTGTTACTTCAATCATTGGATACAATTAGTGATTCAAATTTAGCATCTTGTTGCATTGTATTTGTTCAGCTTTTTTAATTTGATTCAAAATTCTTTTTTTGTGTATGAAAGTATATTTGAACATTTTGTTTTTCCATCTATTTACCGTCATTATATTTAAAAGAATATTCCATGTGTATATTTCGAGAACACTGCACTTTTTCTGAAGAAAGCATAATGTTTTTTTTTATTTTTTTACGGGTAATTAATCACTGATTTTTTTCATCATGCCACGCATACTGTGGCGTAAAAGTTATTAATTCGAATAATTTTCATCACTTTTTTAAATGCCATATTCGATACATATTTTAAGTTAATTCAACATATGCATTTACAACTATCTTTCAATTTCATACATATATAATATTTAATGAATAAAACGGTCTCATCAGTCCGTCATTATCATTTTAACCAAATTATATAGCAAAGCTTATTTATAATATTAATTGATAATTTCTATTACTATATTAATTAAATAACAGATATTATCATGTTAAATTGATTACTGCAGGATATTTCATTTCCTATGATTAACAAAGCAATTTTTATAACAGTTTGAAAAACTAGCGCATACAAATCACTTTATTAATTTTTAAGTAAAATCGGTCTGAGAAATTAATTAACTGCAAAAAATACATGAACCAATGAGTTTGTTAGTTCTGTAAATCTCAACAAATTAGTGATTACTAAATCAATGCAGAATGTGTAAATGTCAGTTGATAAATAACGACACAATTAATTAGCGGGATTTATTTGACAGGCTCGCTTGCGCGCATAAATCGTGCAATTTTGCAACTCGCAACAAGGAATTCGCGATGGACATTGGAAAATCCAGAAACGGTGAAATAAAGGAACTTTTTAACGAGAATTTCCAGAAACTGAGCGCAGCTGCGCACAGAGTTTCTCCTCGCGAAATACCACTTTGTGCCTGCATTCAACATCGCCTTCGCACTTTACCGTATAGTTATGTTCGTTAACAAACTCTTTTCTAACGCTAAAGTTATACGAATTATCTCGCTGAATTATTCCTTGCTACCAGAAAATTATGTGATCAAACGAATTTTTTATATTGTCGCTCTATGCAACGCAGTGTTTTTTAATTCCTTTGGTTCCTATTACGTCGTCCTCTATGGTGTCTCATTTAACTTTATATCTACATAATTTCGCACACTATTTTTCAATTTACATAAAAAAATTTGTAATCTTTTATTTCCCGGCTGAGAAAAGTCCAGTTTCCTGAAAACCTTCCCATGGTAAAAAATCAGTAACAACTTTCTCGCTAAGGTAGATGCGAAGAATAATTGGACGGCGAAGTGGCTAAGGATAAGCCTGGGAGTGGGAGTGGTTAAATATTTGCAAAGTCAACGCGTGGGGTGCTATGCCACCTCTCAAAAGGGTGGAAATTGGCCGCCTCCGGCCACAAAGACGCCTAGTGGAAATCCGCGCTGAGAACGTTTTCTCGTTTGCGACACCAGGATACAGCATTTCCAGGACTTCGTCCGTGCAAAAGTTCAAGGATGCCATTGAAATTACAAACACGCACCAATCTAAACCTCTAAAGATGCAAAGACTTCAATATTCTCAGAACTATCTAATGATATAAAATTATTTATTTAAAAAAGAGTGAACAGATTGGAAATTAAGATGTTTTTATTTACTGCGTAAAAAATGAAGGATTTTAATACATCTGAAGAATTAAAATTCACAATAAGTGTATCAGAAATAATCTATCTTAAAAAAAAAGAAGAAAAAGAGATAAAATCTTAGATTATCTTCAAGAAAGAAAGATGTTTAGCCTGATATTTGTTAAAGAGATCTTTATAGCAGGAATTCTAGCATCAAGTTTAGTCAGTTTAGTAATAATTCTTCAAAGAATTTTAGAAATCTCTGTCAATAAAAATTCCAGTCAATTTGTTTAATAAGAATTTGAAAAAGAGAATATCAATTTTTGTTAAAGGGATAATTTTAATTCCGAAGGGAGTGTTAATATAATGAAACATTGGTATCCTGGCACGATATTGGAATAGCTCGACCGATGGTGGATATGACCGAGATTTTCCATAGTAAAACAAAAAGCGAGGAGTGCAAGAGGAAAATGACATCTCTTATTGTTAGCGTAGTGCGGCGTAAGGATCTTTCGGAAAGGACGTGAGACAAGGGTCGCGAAGCCGACAGGGTGTGACGCGAGAAATTCGTGCCCAGATTGCCGAGTACGAATTCAAATCCAAGAAATCGATGCCGCTTTTCGTGCGGCAGAACGGCGGAATTCTGGGAGCGTCAGTGACTATGAAAGTCGCAACCTGCGAGGACGAGTGTTCCGATCGTGCAATTCCGTTCCCCAGGACGTTATACATAAATTTGAGGTTCGGTAGAAGCGTAGGTTTGGAGCTACCAAACTAGAGTATCCAACGACGGCAGAATCAAGATATATTGCCGATTATAGTAACTTTTATTGACAATAAATATCGAATTGAATAAATTGGCAATATTTTTTTTTTAAAGGCAGTAGTTATTCTTTGAAATTAAAGAGAGATAATTGAAGTGTGCCTAAGCAAAACGTAAGTGCCATTATTTTTAATTTTTCAAGAGAATGGAAAAACTTATTTTCTTGAAAGCTATCACTTAAACAATTTTACAAAAATTACTGCAACGAACAAAGACACGAGCAATCAATTTCTGCAAAAAATTTTAATTAATTCTAATTAAAAAAAAGTTCGTTTTTGTTAAAGTTGCTAAAATTTGAAAACGTTGTAAGTTTAAATAGAAATATAAATCAAAATGTAAATTCGAATAAAAATTGCACGATAGATTTACAATGTTTTGAGTTCCATTCTTCTCCGCTTATAGCTTATAACATTTTGTACATCAAATATTAGTATGTGATATAACACGCCACTTACAACCAATTTATATAATAAAATACATTCACAATTTTAGCACTTAAACGTTTTGTCATGGTAACACCTTAATTAATAAATTCGATGCACGTTTTTGAATATTTTTATTTTATTTAGTTTATTCACTAGCGTTTGGAAATCAATAAGAACTGATGATGTTTGCCTATAGAAAGAAAAATTTCATTTTGTCATCCAGCGTAATCCGAGGTTAATGGAATTTGAGGAAGGATACGATGCAAATGCAACTTCAATTCTTGTTTGTTCGAAATTTCAGAACAAAGAACATTTATGTGTGACCGTTGAAACGAGTGTCGTTACTTTTACAAAATTTTATTTGTTCATTGCGACTTTTAAATAAAACAAGTAGCGTAAATAAGTAAAAATGGCATGCTACGCTATTATTATTCACAAAATTGCTATAGCTATTATAAATGCAATCCAAAAACGCGGTATTATGCATTGCGCCGCATACGTTATGGAATTCGGGGAAAACGCGCGTTTTATTATTTCGCGCTTTTTGTAGTGCTTCTCACGCGCGAAATTCTTTCGTCGGTAAATTGAGCAAATTGCACTTTTATGAAATTCTTTTCTCGAAACTTTGGTATAGATTCTAGAAAATTGCATTCACAGTTGTACGCTTGACAAACACAATCAGATATCTATTTTATTTTACGAATAACTTTTAATTTTTCCAGATTAAGTCTGTTTAATTTTATTTAAAAATGTTTGCGGACTTTTGTAAAAAAATTTTTTTTTTTTTTTTTTTTTTTTTTAGAAAAAACGTTTGTACTTACATCCTATACAGCGGTTATATAATAACAACCATACGCTTATCACTTCTAACAGGAACGCTTAATGCTCTGCGCGAAAAATCGTTAATTTTGCAGCTGCAACTGCTGCGGAACATTTAATTACTCCGCACGCGTCCCACATAAGTTCAACGCTGAAGCGAGGTTGATGACATTAAATTCTATTAAGAGGGTTCCCATTCGTATTTTCCGTGAGCTTAATGCGCATATTCATGACGGTTCATCGCATCGGTAGGTATTAAAAGCGTTAAAACCCTGCACACAAACGGAGAAAGATTGGACTTTTTAATCATTTGACAAATGTATTTTTTTCAAAAGATTTTTTTTATAAACATCACACTTTTTATTTCGATTTGAACATTGAGAATTTATGTTTAATATGTGTAAATTTTATTTGCAATTAAAAAAATTTGATTTATATGTATACATATATATATATATATATATATACAATATGTATGTTATATTATTAGCATGTTGTATGCATATGCATAAGTGTGTGTAAAATCTGTTTCATATTTATAATAAACATGAAATGGTATTAAAATTAAATATAATAATTTAAAAACATACAGGAAGTTACAGTTTATAATTATAGTTTTATATCGCTTAATTCTTTAATTATTTTAGTTTTTGCATGATATATATGATTTATTAAGCTTATAAATATTTTAGGCAATTTCATTGGAGGCTCCATCATACACTATATGTATACTAAATATTAAACTAATTAATAAATATGTTGATATGAAAAAATTGACTTTCTGTGACTTTCTGTGTGTTTCTATTCTTCAGTAATTCGATTACTACGATACTATTTTAAACGTTAATTATGAGCTTATAACA